GTGTGTCTGTCTGTGGCTGTGAGCGGACACTGTCTCTATGTGTCTCTCTCTGAGTGGACACTGTCTCTGTGTGTCTGTCTGTGACTGTGAGTGCACACTGTCTCTGTGTGTCTCACTATGGCTGTGAGTGGACACTGTCTCTGTGTGTCTCTCTATGGCTGAGTGGACACTGTCTCTGTGTGTCTCTCTATGGCTGTGAGTGGACACTGTCTCTGTGTGTCTCTCTATGAGTGCACACTGTCTTTGTGTGTCTGTCTGTGACTGTGAGTGCACACTGTCTCTGTGTGTCTCTCTATGGCTGTGAGTGGACACTGTCTCTGTGTGTCTCTCTATGAGTGGACACTGTTTCTGTCTCCTCATCCTTCTGCGTGACTCTGTGTCAGAGTGTCTCCCAGCTTCTGCGTCCGTCTCTTGTCTTCTGCTGTGTCCCCTGTCACGTCTCGTATCTGGGCCCAGATGTGGTTCCCCCCCGCGCCCCGCAGTGTCCACGGCTCGGCACTCCGCTGTCCGGCCAGGGGGCAGTGAGCTCCCTGCGCACGGCCGGTCCGGACCGTAATAACGGGAGCGTCCGGCTGTGTCCGCAGGTCCACCGGGTGTTCCCCTGCGGCCTGGCGGCCCAGGAAGGCTCCATCCGCGAGGGCGACCGCGTGCTGTCCATCAACGGCACCGCGCTGCAGGCGGCCGCCCACTGGGAGGCGCTGCGGACACTGCGGAGGGCGAGGTCCCGAGAGCAGGCCATCGTGGTGCTCCGGAAGGGGACCTGCACCCCCGCCGCCACCGCCGAGCCCCAGGGCACCCAGCCCCACGGCCTCCCCACGGGTGACGGTGGGTATCCAGACCAGAACCGGGCCGCGGATCCAACTGCCCCACACAGCTCCTTTGCATGGGGTCTTGAGTCAGTGTCCAATAACAGTACATCCCCCTGGCTCTCCCAGCTGGCAGCCCACTGGAGCTCAGGTGTGAGTCTGCCCAGCTCCTGGATGGGAGACTGCTGCTGGAGGAGGTGTTAGTGAGGCCAGCAGGGGGCGCTCACCCTGCAGTCTGTGTGGGTCCTATTGCTCCATTATTGTGACTGGGACACTATGTAGACTGTAAAAAGGCGCCGTCCTTCGGATGAGACATAATACTGAGGTCCTGACTCTCTGTGGGCATTAAAAATTCCAGGGCGTTTTTCCAAAAAGAGTAGGGGTGTTAATCCTGGTGTCCAGGCCAAATGTCCCCTGGTGGTAGTGGAGGGGATCCCCATTACCTGTAAAGCACTTTGAGTGGTGTCCAGAAAAGCGCAAGGAATGATCATTTATGTTGTAACTACATTTCACTGTAACAGTGAGTACGACAGTGTAATAAGCATGTTCTTGCTTGAGACCTGCACTGGTCAAAGTGGCTCCTAGAAACAGGATTTATCCCCGTTTCTAAGGTGTTCAGTGGAATAAACAGTACAGGTTTCCTCCTTTAGGGGGTGCTACAGTCAATGGCAGGTTCACCCCAGCCACTGGTGTGGGTACCCACTGATAGGGCTGTGAAGGCAGGATAGTACAGCGCCATAATGAGACAGGCCGGATTTGAACCCGCAACCTTTTGAAAACAGGTTCAGAGCACTAGCTGCAGCTCCACGCTACCCCCTTCAGTGCATAAAGGAAAGTGTAATATGGTGAGGGAATTAGGGCTTATTACTGTGTAATAGATGTCATATTACTATGTAATAGATGTCATATTACCACAGGATGTGTAATGGCAGGAGTGTAATGGCCTCCTTGTGGTTCATCCCTGCAGCCCAGCCAGGGAAGACCGTGCATCTGATCCTCACCAAGAGCTCCTCGGACCTGGGCTTCAGCCTGGAGGGGGGGCGCGGGTCCAACCAGGGGGACAGGCCCCTCACCGTCAAGAAGGTCTTCCCGGGTAAGACGCCGATGGGCAACGTCAGGCTCCCGAGCGTCACTTTAGCGCACTGCTGTCATGTTCCCTTCCTGGCCCTCCCACTTTTTATTCACCTGCCCTCCCTCCCTCCTTCCTGTCTTCCTGTCTCCCTGTCTCCTGCCTGTCTTCCCAGGCGGCCCCGTCGACCAGGTGCTCCCCGGAGACGAGGTCCTGGAGGTGAAAGGTCGGAGCCTGCGGGGCTTGAGGAGGCTGGAGGCCTGGAACTGGATCAAGATGCTGCCCCCTGGGCCGGTGGAGGTGTTACTGCAGCGCCCCTGCAGACTGTAGGGAGAGGAGGAAGAGAGAGGGATGAGCTTGTCTGGCCCTGTAACCAGCACATGGGGGACAGGGGTTCAGGGCACAGAGAGAGAGGGGAGACAGGGGTTCAGGGCACAGAGAGAGAGAGGAATTCAGGGCAGAGAGAGCAGTGATAAGATTCAGACATGAACACAGGCAGAAAATCAGGAAGCTACACAGAGCAGCTGAATGAAGAGGGGGACAAGAATTTGCAGCAATTCATGTTTCAGCATCTTTTAACATTTTGTATAACAATCTTAAAAAAACAAAAAAAATGGCTTGTTAATAATATCTTGTTAACGTCCCCTAAAATCAAAATCTTAATTATAAACTTTTGTGCTTGCTTTAAATAAATGTGTTGTAATTCAGTTTTGGATTGTGTGTTACTTTTTCTCCATCTACGACGTTCATTTTATACGAATATCAAACTACAGTTCAGTAGAGCCCAGTGAGATCAGGTTAAAAGCACAGTACAGTGCAGTAGAGCCCAGTGAGATCAGGGTAAAAGCACAGTACAGTGCAGTA